AAACTTGGCTTCTGATATTAAGGGAGGAACATAGACTGAGGGTGTTTGAGAACAGGGTGTTGAGGAGAATATTTGGACCGAAGAGAGACGAGGTGAAAAGAGGTTGGAGAAAACAGCATAATGAGGAGCTTCATAACTTGTACTCTTCTCCAAGTATAATTAGAATGATCAAGTCAAGGAGGATGAGGTGGGCAGGGCATGTAGCACGAATGGGGGAGAGGGTATGAGGCTGACCACTAGTGCCAAGTTAAGGGCGGTGGAGCTACACTTCCACATCCCAATGTATCTTCATGGTGTGATGCTTAATTTATTCAACAGAGCAGACGTAAGGCACAAGACATTCTCAACAGTCTATATAAAACTCTTGTACAAGTTTATTGAAGAACACACTATCATGTGTTGTTGGAAGGAAGGGTCTGTGTATTTAGTGGTTGACTTGTAGGGAGGTAAAGAAAATGACTGTTACTCCAAGCACCCAAAAGGGTGAATTAGCAGAAGCTCCTGATCCCCAGCCACACTCCACATCCAACTTGAGCACCTCAATCAGCGATGCATTGTTGCGGTTCTCACATCGAGCTTCACGCAAGTCATCCTGCTCAGCGCTTATTTTGTGGCACCCTGGCACTCGAGCTTGCTTGTCTGGCTGACACATGTACTGCCTCTTCTTACGCTGCCATACCTCAACCCAGCTGAAACAGGTATCAGTTCCTCAGTGCAACATTTCAGGCTTTCTGGGGAGCCAGAGAACATTTTTGAGGTTCATATATCTGTTATAGAAAACAAAGCCCTGCTCTATAAGACAGTAATCAAACCAATGTGGGCTTACGGAATCAAGCTCTGGGGTTGCGCTAGCAAATCAAATATATCAATAATCCAAAGAAGCCAGCCAAAAATACTTTGAATTATAACAAATGCACCCTGGTATGTAAACAACCAAACGTTACATACAGATCTAAATATACCATACATCAAAGATGTCATCAGAGAAAAAAGTACCACACACCACAAGAAACTAGCAAATTACCCAAATGACATACTACAGCCACTTGTTGAACTGCAGCACAATTGAAGACTCCGAAGATACTGGCCAGCTGACCTAAAAGAAAACTTAAGAGGAACCTCCCACTGGGGAAGGGACTCATCACGCCATTAAAGAGCATCACAGCTCTTACACCAGCAAACTAGCTCACAGAATTGTAGATTCTGATTTCTTAATAAATAAATAAAAAAAAATATATCTGTTGAATGATTTTGGAAGCATCTGTTACTTTATGTAGGATTTGAGGTTCTCTCAGCTGTTGTTATGAAAAGTTTTGTCTTCTGGGATATAATACTATGTCCTCTGTTGAAAGTCAACAGACGTTTTGGAGGAAAATATCGCCTCCATCTTCATGGTAGAAAGATAAAACAAGCAAGAAACCACTGTGAAAGCAGGTGGCCACAAGCTTTCATGTTGGTTTCTTGCTTGGTTTATTCTTCAACCCTGAAGATAGAGGCGATATTTTCCTCCAAAACGTCAGTTGACTTTCAACAGAGGACACAGCATTATATTCCAGAAGACAGAACTCTTCATCTCTGATGTTACATCACAAGTATGATAAATGTTTCCATTATCACACATATACTGTGTTACTAAAACTGTTAACACTGGCATGGAATGTATATGAAAGTTGTGAATCCTTATTTAAATAATCTCAGAGAATATCTTGTCTTACTTTCCTTAACTGAGATTTTGCAAAACCATGTTAAGAAGCTGATTTTTATGACTTGGAGTATACTTACAATTAACTAATTTCTTTATATAAGTAGTTAAAGGAACTAGTTCCACAGAAATACAATTACATAATCAATAATATCAAATTAATTCATAAAATGCTTAATGTATAAAATACTTAAATATCCTCAGCCAATGATTGGCATGGTTTCTGTATGTATTACACATGTGATGATCACTTTCCACAGATTGTAGTTGCATGGTAATGATATCCAGGAGGGAGAAAGAAATTGCACTAAATCAAGGTATAGTGTCTCAATTTTTTACATTAAGTGTGGATTTTTTATTAAAAGTGTACTATGAACAGAAACTAATTCATTGTCTGTATGGGGGTTACAGTGGAAATAGAAAAGACGTCTATTAAATACTGGATTTCGATAATTACGGAACATTAAGTTGGGAATTCACTATATTTAAAATGAAATTTTGAATAATACTTCTCCACCTGTTTGTTATATCTTTAAACAGACATGCAGACATTTAAGTGAGTGCACACATATTTCTTGGAACTGTTTGAATAGCCGCAGACCTTGGCCATTCTCCATGAGCAGTGATCCAAGTTAAATAACCATGGCAGACAACTCAGTGGGCATCCATGTTGAGTGATCTATTTGGTAAAAAATGGTTAACAAGATATTGCATGATGAGGATGTGCTGACTGAATTGTTCTTAGCCATTATTAAATTCAGCTTCTAATGAATCTGACATCACACATTTGGCATGCCTGGTGCATGGTTTGTAGATGCAGCAATGTCTCAATAAAGTATTTTATGCATGAAACTGCTTACAGTTGCCTGACAGTCACATACTCTATATGGACATGGATTGCTTTCTGCATTAATATACTTTATATGGCTTTACAGCATTGAAACTAAAGATGACAGGAGGCAAACTGCAAAGAGATTGGGAAGGAAAACAGATCTTATATTATGGATAATAGTGGCAGCAATTACTGTTAGACACAAAGTCTAATAGTTAACATTTAGAAATTTGTTCGGATGAAGGTTGACTGGCCTGTGCACAGTTCAGTGTTATTACCCTATTTGGCAGTCACAAGTCCATGTGTTCCCCTCAAGCTGTAGTTCTGTGATGAACATAGTATTGAGAACTCCTGGGAACTCTCCAGTGTTGGGGTTCCCCACTGAGTGGAGTGAGTTGTCCCGCACATCTATACTCAAATTTCGAACCCAGCTCATCTGCTCAAAAAGTGAGTGTGGCAGTGTCTCCACGCTGGTGTTGTGCAGAGTGAAGTGTAGGCGGAAGCTTCGTATGCCCTGCAACGTGTACAGTTCAGATCACCTTCATATACTGCACAGGTATAGATATGCACCATCTTGTAGGGTGACTTCAGTGTCTGTATTCTGTTCATTTCGGTTTCTTGACTGGTCACACAATGGTGCAGCTCCAGTAAGACAGAATTCCTCTGCTAGGCAGTATAAAATGTCAGAATTACTGGGTTTTGGACTTTTTGGTGTTGCACTCCCATTTATCAGCTGGAATACCCCTCTCCCCCCCAAACAGGCACCCTTGGTCCTGGACGCTTGTGAGGGTTGCATTTACTACAGGACCAAACCACCTAAGCCAAGGTATGAAGCATCGTGCTGAGGGCTGTATGGCACTGTGGTGGTAATTAGCCAGTGTCTTGAATGTTCCCCTTGGGGCACCACACAGCACCCCATTGCATTTATGCCTTCCATCTGTATGGGGCGCTGTGGGTGGTGACCTTTTAAATCCCCATAACTCCTGGGACTGAAATGAATAAAGGAACCAAATTAAAAACCGGTCGTAAAGACCTTAAACTGAAGAGGGACCCCCCTCCAAGGGGATCCCTATGAGAAATGCTTCAGCAGGGGGCTGGAAGCTCTGGTGAAACATTAAGGGGCCCAGTTGCAACCAGCGAACCTGGTGTTGAAATTTCAGCCAAAGGCAGGGACGAACCTGCCAGAGATAAAACCAAAAACTACTCTCCTGGGGGTCAGTAGTACTGACACACCACTGCAGGGAGCTAGTACTTCAAACACACCTGCAGCAGGAGAAGGACTGGTACACCTAGTTTCTGGAGTAGGTGGACCCCATCTAGTGAAAAAAGCCTTGTCTGGATGCGCTATACGGAAGTTGAAAAATGCAATAGCTGAGGCAAGCAAAGCAGGAACTGGGGGCAGTCAGCAACCAGGAAGTGCAGGCTCGTCCAAGCAGGGAGAAAACCCCACCGGAACTTTTAAGAGGCCAAGGCTGGAGGGCAGTACCCCTACAGAAACGGTCAGAACTCCGAAAAGGCCCAGGGACTCTAAGGGACCAGGGATTTACAAGGAGGCTCTGACCAATACAAAGGTCTTTAAGGAATCTTTAAGGAAACTTATCCTGGGGATAAGCTTACCGAAGATGACCAAAATTCCATTCTGGAAGCACTGGGGGAGGTGTTACGTAGGACTCCAAAGGGAGAACTACCTCATCTGAAATCCTACAGACTAGTGGGAGGTGCACTCGTTTATGTACGTGCCGACCAACAGTCTGGTTAATGGCTCACCAAAGCCATTGACAACCACAGGCTGGAATCAGGGGCCAGGCTGAAGACTACTGATGCCAGGAACCTGCCCAAGCCTGTTAAAGTGGCTCTCCAGACTAGGGACAAAATTGCCCAGAATCAGGAAGAGCTGTTGAAATGGATTGCAGACCTCAATCCAGGACTTGATACTGAGAACTGGAGGGTACTTGATAAGCAGTCTGAGTTGAAAGGCCAGAGGCTTATCTTATTCATAGACTGGGACTCCCATACTATTATACAGATGACCGGTTACAAAATATTTACAGGACTCTCACAGGGGACTGTTAAGGTACTGAATGATCTTGAAGTTCAGCGCCAGGCAGAACCTGTGTCAGATACAGTATCTTCTAACTTGGTCTGAGGGTGAAGGGGATGAGATACCCATGCCCCAGGATGAACAAAGTGAAACGGATCAGGGGACCTCTTCGCACGGAACCCAATATGAGGACGGGGAGGGACATAAGATGGAAATTGACCCCTCCCCAATTGGAAGAGATCATGAAATTTCTTCAAATTAACCTACACCACAGCAAAGCTGCCACGGCAACTCTCTGCTAACAACTAGCTGAGGGTAAGGCAGATATAGCACTTATTCAGGAACCTTGATTATGCAAGGGTCAAATAAGGGGCTTAACTAACACAGGGGGAACAGTTTACCCTGCTGTACCCAGTAATGATGCAAGATCTTGTGTTTATATCAAGAACCATGTTAACGCCTTGCCGTTGTTGGAGCTCTGTTCTAGGGATACAACGGCAGTAAGGATAACATACGTGTATCGAGGAGGCAGCAAGGAGCTGATTGTTGCTTCGGTCTACTTTCCATATGACTCAGATGAACCACCACCAACTAAGAAGACGAGTGATATCACAGACTACTGCTTTAGCAGGAAGAAGCAACTCATTATTGGGTGTGATGCCAACGTGCACCACATCTTGTGGGGGAGCACCGGCACTAACCCAAGGGGAGAGAGCCTTATTTCTGGTGAGTTCAAACCTGAATATTCTTAACCATGGTAATGAACCTACCTTTGTGGTTTGCAATAGGAAGGAGGTTATTGGTTTGACACTAGGGACAAATAACATGGGAAACCTGGTAAGCAACTGGCATGTATCTGATGAGCCATCCCTATCGGATCACAGATGTATATGCTTTCAAATAAGCAACATTACAGTAGATCAAGCTACTTATGTGAATCCTAAGAGAACCAATTGGGAGTCTTGCAAAGACGACCTAAAGGTAAATCAGGAGACCATCTCGTGAAATATACGCCCAATAAAGGATGTTGATCTGCCCATTGACAAGTTGCAACAAGCTATCATCTCATCCTTTAATCGGAATTGTCCGGCTAGGACCACTTGCGAACCAAGGAGTGGAGTAAACTTGGTGGAGTAAACAGCTGAGTGGGCTTAGAACCAAAATGAGAAGGCTGTTTAATACAGCTAAAAGAACAGGGCAGTGGGACATCTACAAGGAAGCCCTTACCTGTTACAACAAAGAAATAATGAAAGCCAAGCGATCGTCATGGAGGAGGCACTGCCAGGAAATCAGTGATGTACCAGGCGGTGCCAGACTCATAAGCATCATGGCAAAACAGGCGACCAACAAGGTCAGCATGATTAAGCATGAGGTGGAAACTTAGTTTCAGCCTTGGGCAGTACACGACAGTGTTCCAGGCAGAAGTATATGCCATTATGGCTTGTATTATGGAGAATTTAGATAGGATCTATAGAAATAGGAACATCTACATTCTATCTGACAGCCAAGCTGCATTGTTTATATCGGGGTTTGGCTCACTCATGTTCACTCATTTATGAATTTTACTAATTGCATAACATTTAAAGTAGATTTCACTATGTCATGTGATGCAAAGTGGACCCTATGATTAGGAAATGTTCCAGGTTCACACTGTGTTACTTACTTTAAACAGGCTGTGGGGTACAGATGTCAGTCCCCTACCACTGAGAGTGATATTTCGGACTTTGTACGGCAGAGGGCCCAACATCTCCTTCTCCAGGTCAGTGTTCTCTAGCACCTGTTATGATGGGAGAATAATACCAAGTTAATTTGCATTCTTGGTGCTCCAAAGAGCCATTCTGTCCTTTGCCAAGTCTGTAATGTCCATGATTATCTTTACCTGGATGTGCAGATTCCTCAGTCCGGTGTTCTGCTGGATTATTTCTGGTACACTGTAGTCATGAACATGATCATATGGACTCAGAGACAGTGTCCTTAGTGATGCCATCCTACTTAGTGCACTAGGCTGAAGCATGAAGAAGTGAGAATAAAACTTGGTAATGCCATTCAAGACATAAAATTAACTGAATTCTTAGTCTGTTAGTATACTTAAAGTCAATTCCTGAATATCTCAATCTACATAATGTCAAATAAATACTATCTGTGATTGTGATTATGGAGTATGGATTGGAAAGGTTATTGAATGAAACCAGGATCAATTTACATCAGGGAACACTAGCCTTTTTTTTTTTGGCAGTGAGAAATTACAAGAAGCTTATAATCTATGGTAGGCACTGTATGAATCTGAGCAGCGACGATAGTGACTAGGCTGTAGGTTGGACAGTTGGGGAACAGTCGTTCAAATCCCAGGGCAGGCAGAGATTCTTCTCTTCACCACCATATCTAGACCAGCACTGGGCCAACCTGGCTTCCCATCCAGGGACTGGGGACTCTTCCCATCGGAATAAGATGGCTGATGATGATGATGCTAACCATTTACCTCCAGAGGTTAAGAAAGACCAGGGCCACACCTCCACAAGAAGGTTTAAGGCTCAGAGTGATCTCTAGTGCAAATGAATTTACCTTTAGCTGTATGAATCTACCAAAGGAAAGATATAATTGAAATAGATTAAGCATAGCCCTGCATTGTGTCTCAAATCAAAACTGTGTTTTGGCACACTCCATCTCACAACGCATTTGTAGCAAGTAATAAGTAATTTTCTTGGGAAGAGTCACTGCTATTTTACACCTGAATCCTTCAATTAATGTGACCCAAATGGAATCTAAACATTTAAAATTCCTTGGTACTGGACAAACATATAGTTTACAGAGCAGAAGTTACCACATGTTTTGTGGTCATCAGCATACAATTAAGAAATTACGATTAATTAAAATTTTTCACATTTATCTGAAAATATTCTGAGGGCACCAAGGTGCCTATAGTCATATAGTAGAAAGCTCCTGGTTTAGATGGACTATGAGAAGTCATGAAAGCAGTCAGAATGGCTTTTGTTTGAACCACAATATGCACAAAGTAGTGATCACTCTACCTTATGGATCAGAAACCTTGATTTTTCATTTATGAATGAAATAAAGAACATCAGTTTCCCAAGAAAACTTAATTTTCCAGAGTCAGAAGGAAAATTTATTTTTTGAGTGATCTCTTTCTGTAATTTTCGGTGACATTTGTGATTTGTGGAGTCTGTAGATGACACACCATCTTCTTGCATCATGTCCATGACTAGCCATGAAAGATCTGTGAAAATGCTATCATGGCTTGTGTTAAGATACTGCCCTACTTTTCGATTGGATGAACTGAGTAAAATAATGAGAAGTTCAGTAGCTGATTCCAGGATCTCAATTGAGGGCCTTTTTATGAAGATGGAACAAGCTTATCAGGTGGTCGACTTCCTTAGGGTGACTTGTTTGATTCAAAATTATCTTTTTGGAAAACAGAAACATTGTTATATAGGAACCAAAATGCCTCTGATGAGTACGCATTATGGAGATGAGAACATCATATAATTCCCACATACAGGCAAAGCTAAGCCCATGCTCAAATCGCCTTCATCATTATTGCTAATGATGACAGCCCCTTTCTTTCATGGGTTATTTTATGTTTCTGTCAGCATACCTAAGCTATAGTGTTAAATATTAGGATGATTCATTAATTTGTAAAGGGTGTGCAGGGAAGCGGCTGTGACCTTATTGAGGTACCATCCTGGCATTTGCTTGGATGGACTGAGGAAATCCACTAAGTCAGCATAGCTGATGTCCTGGCTGAGATTTGAACCAAGCATCTCCCAAGTACAAGTCAGGAGCAGTATAGTTAGACCAACCTGCATTGTAATTGCCATGTTACATCAGATGCAAATTAAGTTATAAGCTTGAGGTAATATGAGACCACCCACAGTTGAAGATCACAGACTCTAAGAAGAAAACACAAATAACATTAGCACTTGCGTTTCAGCAGTATTATGAAAATGGAAACCCGCCTGTCTATAATTGGGGGTATGCGGTAGTGTAGTTGGTTGAGGCACTATGCTACAAGCCAGAAGGTCGTGGGTTCGATACCTGATGAGGTTATTGGATTTTTCAATTGACCTAATCCTTCCAGCCGCACTATGACCCTCAGGTTGACTCACCCTCTAACAGAAATGAGTACCAGGAATATACCTGTGGGTGAATGGCGGCCGGCGCATAAGGCTGACAACCTCACCGACATCTGTAAGCCGACTCTCTAGAAAATGCGGAAGCCTCGACTTCTCACAATCCTATGGGCCTCAACAGCTTGTTACAGGGATAGCTTTACCCTTTTCTGCCTATCTATAATCATGCCATGGTACAGGAATGTCATATTACATAATGCTGTATTTAAGCATCCTCTTGTATTAATAATAAAAAAATGTAAAGTTGTCCCTGTGCTAAAGAAATTAAGCACTATGCCATGAAGGCATATGAGGGAGCAGATGGATAGATCCACATTTTCTTGACCTCGGGACTAGGTGGAGATGAGTGGTCATCTTCACATCCTGGCCGCTCTACCCCTGGGGAAAGAGCCCCCGGTACCCATTGGATAGGAGGCTTGGAGGGCCCCAGAGCTAGTCTGGACAACATGGAGACAATTCTTGACCATACCAGGACTTGAACTCAGACCTCTCAGTCATCCAGCCTGTAGCCAGCTGCTATGTGACTTTAGGTAATTATATTGAAATTATTCCTAAATAATAAATAGAATTAAATTTCCTTGTACGAAAATCTAATGTATATTCCTATTTTGAAGTGCGGCCCTGGACCATTATTTATAGGGCTGAGGTGGCCCTCTGTACAAGTTGAGTTTGACATGCCTGGTCTAGATAATGTGGGACCCTTTCACAACTAACCCTATGGGCCTCCATGGATAACTTTACCTTACCTTTACCTTATATGACCATTATTAGGTATATGTTGAGACCTGCACATAATACTTCTCATGATGTGGCTGCAGTAATGGCATTGGTATCACTACATCTGTTTAGGAGTTCCTTGTAGGTTATAAGGCAGAAGCCAGATTTCCAAAGCAAAAGAGCTGCTGATATTGTGGTCATTCTGAGAGAGTGTGGATGTGTTTGTGCCTGTACATGTGTGCAGAAGAATGGTGTGGAAATGAATCCCTTGTAACCCTGGCCACACATGGAAGTATCAGTGGCTTCACCTGAAAATAGTTTAGTGTGAGGTGTCGGATGTCCAGTTCTTGGAGATGTTCCATGGCCCCCTGGAAACTAGTGTTGCTCAGTGTCGTTATAGGATTTCCGGCAAGCTCCAAGCACCTCAAGTGAGGCATAGAGCGTGCTGCAGGTGGCACGGCCTGTGTGACAGTAAATTCATTATTCAGACAGCAGTACCAAGCGAAAGACTTGAAGAGTGTAAATGAAGGAAGCTGTTTATGTGCTGTGATCATACAATTCTGGATTGTATTTTTCTCTGTGATAACTGCATTTAACATTCATTTCATACTGTCCCCTTCAAAACGAATTGTTTGTGGCTTAGTGCATTGAGCCCAGTGATTAGCAGCACTGTTGGAAGCATGTTCAGAACCCAACTTAGCAAGTATAGCCATGAATTGTTTTTGAATTGTAATGATGTCATCAAATTTCTTCCAATGCCAGCTTGAGTTCTGGAAAAAGAAAAGGTCACATCTTGGTAGCATGGATGGTGCCAGATATCAGTCATGTTGGTATTAGTCAGAAATGCATATGCCGATGAAGAGTAGAGTGAGCAACACTATTGTCATAATGGAGACCTGAGTCTCTGCTGTGTCACTGCTTAGGATGTTCTCAATGCACATTTTCGGCATGGACACCGTGGAATATCTCAGTAGAAATACTGGTTCACAGTTTGTCCCTGTGCGACAAACATGTGATGAACATTTCCATGAATATATATACATATATATATATAATTACTATGGACCCATATTACAATTATGCTATAAAATTATTTATAAAATAATTTAATTTAATTTAAACTTACATCATTACAACTCAGTTTTATATTTTGATTGTATTAAAACAGTGTCAATCTTCATAAAATCGGTACATGTAATTATATTAGATAACAATTTTTTTAAGTAGGATTTTTAGTGCATTATAATCTCATTTTATATTATAAAAACCATGCACTTATTTGTTGATGAGTTTATATATATATATAAAACATGCAGTAAGATATCTTACTTAAAAAGCCACACAACAGAATGCATTTATTGAAGATTTTCACAATTGTTGAAACCCCATAACCAACATGATTTTCAAATGGAAACTTAACTTCTCTAATCTTTTCTGGGTATGGAGATGATGAGCCCTCCTACTGAAAAGACTGCTGACTTGTTTCAGGGTCATATCCAGAAACTCACGAGGCATGAGGTAGCGTAATTGGTTGAGGCACTATGTTACAAGCCAGAAGGTCATGGGTTCAATTCCTGATGAGGTCACTGGGTTTTTCAGTTGACCTAATCTTTCCAGTCGCACTATGGCCCTGGGGTCGACTCAGCCTCTGACAGAAATGAGTACCAGGAATCTTCCTGGGGGAAAGGGCAGCCGGTGCATAAGCCTGATAACCTCACCACCATCTGTGAGCTGATTGTCTATAAAATATGGGAGCCTTGACATCTCACAACCCAATGAATCTCCATGGTCTGTTAACGGGGATAGCTTTACCTTTTTAACCCTTTAACCTTTGTTTGCATTGAAATCAGATTTGTTTTCTTCTTTTATTCTTTTGATGTAATGCTCTATTACAGCATGACGTTGAAACACACATGGCCAGCGTGTAAGGCTGACAACCTCACTGCCATCTGTGAGCCAACTGTCTAGAAAATGTGGGAGCCTCTATGTCTCACAGCCCTATACGCCTCCACATATTGTGGTGAGGGGGTTTGAGTATGCCAAGGACCCTGAGAGCTATACCAGCAGTAGCGTAGCTACTGGAAGGGCCTCCCTTGCTGGACAGGTCGTCAAAGGGTAGGAATCAGATGACAAGAGACATCAGAAACCAAAAACTGATGACGGAAGCATCATCATCAGCAGCGACTTGACGCACAGAGCAAATGATGCTCGAGATGGTTCAAGTTCGTATAGCAACAGGCGTGACCAGAGTGGTTTGAAAGGCTGTTGTATTACGATGTGGAAAGCAAATGGAAAAACTACTACATTATCACTTTTCCTGGATAGTCTCTTTCCAAAAACAGAGATACCATGTATGAGAGATGTTTCCTCTGGAGACAAAACAAACCAGAGGGGCGGATAGAAGTGACCAGAATCCGAAGGAGATGTAAGAAGATGCTGGATGACTTTGGGGACAGAAGAGGATATTTTTATTTGAAGGAGAAAGTTTGAGATCACATTAAGTGGAGGAACTGGTTTGGAAAAGACTGTGGACCTGTCGTCTGACAGATTACTGATGAATGAATATATCTATTTTTTACTGTTCATAATAATAGTGGACAGTGAAGCCTACTGTTGATTTCCCGTTCATTCACTATAATTTTGATGTCTTGCCAATCTCTAACAATGAACAACTTCCTGAAAGTTTAATGTTTATTTATTATTAGGGAAGGATTGATCATAGTCTTAATTATTTTATTTATAATTTCTTCTGCTGAACATACCTGTTACTTGTGTACTCTATACTTTTTATTGTTCCCAGCCCTAACTTAACTGTTTCTGTTGGGTAGCATCAAAGGCAGAAGTGCAGGTCGATGGAATGGTTGGAGGGAACCTGATATAGGTCTCTGTTAAGGTACAACTGTACTGTGGGCCATTAATCATTGCCTGAGAATCGTGTCAGACATACTTGCAGTTGGTTGTAGGACACATCCAGTTGCTGTAATGAGGTTAGGCTTCTGGCCACCTCAACTGGGACATCCTGGATACGATTCTGGGCAAGGCGGAGAGTGCGCAGGGCAGGAAGCAGCAGCTCTGGCATGGACCCCAGTGAAGTGTTACACAGGTGAAGCTCCAGTAAGGAGTCTTCCAGCCCTTTGAAGCTGCGGCCACGAGTCTCCAGCACCATTTGTGAGTTGTGGCTTAGGTCCAAGAATGACAGGCGGCTCACAAACAAGAAGGTGGAGTCCTTAATCCGTAACAGACGGTTGTGTGACATATCCAGCCACATCAGCGACTAGAACAGTGGGTCCATGGGTTAGAGCCAGTATCAGCCTGTTTGAAGTACAGAGGACAGTACTCATCAGCTTTCTTACTGTGAGTCCATCCATGTATGTGTCATTGGAGGATAACATGCTGACTGGTCAGGCATGTCTTAAAATATTTAAAGCACTGATGTAATTGTGGTTAGCAGAGCAGAACCAAAGTTATCTGAATGGTACCCTGCCCATCCCCAGGCCCACATGGACTGTCTTGGAACAGAAAAATGTTTCTTAGATGAGTCTGCTTAGATATTTAAGTATTAATAATTTAATTAATTAAATGATACTGTCAGTGACTCAAGTTATATGCAATTGATTATTAGGATGGTTAGTGAGTAATGAATTGGAATGGATGTGGAAGGAAGTGGTTATGTTGTAATTTGATATACTGCCCCAGCATTTGCCTGGTGGGATTGACAAACATTACAGAAAACCACTGTGAGGACAGTCCATCTCTGGGTCATGATCTTGACTTGTGACCTTATGGATACAAATTAGGAGAGCTATGGTCTTGGCTGCAATGTACAGCATGAGGCTGGAATCTCAAACTGTGGCATGGACATGTATCATTTGTTTTCATTCTATTATTTTAGAATGTAATATCAATCATTAAAATTGTGCAGTGTCAAACAAGATACAGAATCGCAGATCATGATGCAGATAGGGCTAGTTTCCAAAACATTGCACACTGCATAATGTTGAAAGAAAATGCTCTTGTCACATTACCTTCTCAACATGTTACTGCACTACCAAACCATCAAGTCCTTGTAGGGTCAAGAATTTTCTCTTCTCCAAATCTTCCAGACTGGCTCTGGGGCCCACCCAGCCTTCTATCCAAAGGGTACTGGGGGTAAAGCGGCAGGGGCATGAAGCTGACCGCTCAACTCTGGCTAGTGCCGAGGTCAAGAAAATATAGGTCTATACCTCCACTCCCCCATATGCCTTCATGGCGTAGTGCTTAATTAGTTAAGTTCAGGGACACCCTTACCTTTTACTTTATGTATTGCCTACCTTGAACCGTGAGAAGACATCAGGACTGCTGACTTCCACGATGGAGTTCCATGATAGATTCAGCTCACAAAGAGTAGCTGCGGTTGCAGCACCAAGACTGGATACAGGCACATGACTGAGCAAGTTGTGAGAGAGTATGAGCTGCTCCAAGCCACTCTGAGTGAAGAGTGTGTCTGGCAGTGACCGCAGCTTGTTGTGAGACATGTCAACTACTCGAAGGCCCGATGTTGGCCTGAACAGTTGTGTGGGAATGCTGCTCAGCTGGTTGTGAGTGAGAAGCAATACCTGCAAGCAAATGTTCTATCAATTGTGATGCATTCTGCACAGAATGGTAGTCATAACCATCCAAATGCTTCACAAAATTACTGAATGGATTTTGATTAAATGTGGTATTGGACATGTACAGAAAAAGCTATTGGCATTATAGCCCCCTACTTTACTGTGATCAAAATTCAAACTGATTAAAAATGGCTTATCTTTTTAAAAAATGGTAGATGACATCATCTTTACAATTTTTACACTGATACAAAGTTATAAAACCTTCTGTGACAGCAGTAAGTCTGAAAGAGCCATGTCTATGATACAAAGTTCTGGGAAGAACTGATCACCCACACTCCTTGATATGATATGGACCACATGGAAAATAATGCAATTCTTCTATTGTTGTGTGTGTATTCTTAGCATTCTTACTGAGCCGTTGCCTAGCAACGAAAGGAGGATACACATACAGACTGATGGGAGGGATTTAGGAAGTATGTGGATGAGATGAGTTTGGGTGCAATGATATACATACCAAGTTTCATAAAGATTGGTTCAGCCATTCAGAAGTTTATGGGGAGGGGATACACAGACAGCATTGAGATTGCATAGGCCTACTTTAATTTTTTCAAAATAAGGAAAATAGGATAAAATTTGAGCTTGAACAAAGAGGTTGTGATTAGATGGTCCCATAACAGTGCTAACCTGCATCATTTTGGTGTTGCGAAAGGTGTCGAAATCTAGTTCTGCAAGTTGGTTGCTACTCAGGTCAAGCCACTGCAGATGTGGCATGTTCCCAAAGACTTCACGTGTGGTGTTGATCAGCCTGTTGTGTGACAGGTGCAAATGCGTGAGGGACTGTTCAACAGGCCGTAGGTAGCTGTGCCCGATGCAAGTCACATTGTTGTATGACAGATCCAGCATCTTGACATTTGCTGACATCTCGCCACCTCGCCCTCTTGTGGCATTCAGTTCCAGCTGCTGCAGAGCATTGTGACTCACATTCAGATGGAATGATGACAGAGTCCCAACCTGCAGCAACACAAAGTCTAAACAGACTTGCACAAAGTGGGAACTTGTGTCTTATCCTGTCTAACTGCATATTCAATCTCTAAATCTTCCAAACCAATTTTTATTTAAGTTTGTGCTGAAGTCTTCGACAAAAGGTGTCAGAACATTTTAAGTTTTGTTAATTTCTATCAAACACAACATTTATTTACATGAAACACAAATCAGACTTCATCAGTTTAAAAAAAAAGGGTTCATGCTAAATAATATGGTGTATGGCAAAGTGAAAGTGTGTAGATCTCATCATGATACACAGCAGAATCCTAATTTGTTTTCCCTCACTTTAAAGTGTACTATCATTTAATGGCAATTTCAATGATCCTAAGTCAAAAATCAGAGTGTTGTTTTTCCTTATTTTAGTGTTAAAATCCACTGCTCCGTAAACAAACCAGAAATGGTGGGTTTACTGTATTGCTCTTATGCATAACTTCTTGACATGCTAATGATTTAGTCAAATACAAAGAAAATGGCTTCTGACAGCATGCACCTGTAATGCGGTCAGCTTTCAAACCAGTTCATATCTGCAGACAATGAATGTGAAGATCAGATAAAGGTAAAAGTTTGTCTCTGTTTAATTAATTAGGCAATTAAGCACTATGCCTTGAAGAGTTGAGGTACAGCTCCACCATTCTTAACCTTGATACTAGATGGGGGTGAGCAGTCGGGTTCACTCCCCAGGGAAAGAGCTACCAGTACGCATTGGATAGGAGCTTGGGAGGGGCCCCTGAGCCATTTTGGATGCTGTGAAGTAGAGAAAAATATTGCTCTGCCAGGAATTTAACCCTGGCCATCCAGCTTGTAGTCTTTTGCTATACTGACTGAGTCATCATGGTTCCTTGTCAAGATCAGTGGCATGCAAAATGGCAGAGAATGCATTTGGAAAATGCATACTCCATCAGATTATACCATATACTTGCAAATGATTTCAGTTCTGTGGAAAGACTGATTTAGTTGGCTCTACAGTCTCAAGTGGACTGTTGTACCACACAGTATGATGAAGACCATAAATGCATAAGACACAATTGTAAGTTGGCCTGTTTCATTCTCACATGGACTAGCCTAAGGTGAATCTCGACTTCCATGGTAAGATGCTAGGGCCCTTCATGGCTCTGTGGAGGAGTCATCTGTGTTAGATGCAAAGTAAACCATGTTAGCCCTTTAAAGAGTGCATTTCAAATTCAAAGTCAAAGTCATGTTATAACTGATGGTCAGGGGGCAAGTCCATCTTGGGCCCAAGACCATGTTTTTGTTACTGTTAGTTGCGGGTTTGTTGATGTGGGGCACCCATTTAGACTAGAGGATGGGTCTGTCGTTCTGTCATTTACAATTGCTGTTGGTCCTCGGCAGCACAGTCATTCTTGGGTTCAAGTCCCGTGGGACTCCTGACCATATTTTACTGTCTCAGGTTCGAGATCCCCCCAACCTGGAGGGCCAGGTTCCCATATTTATATACCCCAGGAACAGGGTGAACCAGTTATACCCCCAGACACTGGGNATGGCAATTTCAATGATCCTAAGTCAGAAATCAAAGTGTGGTTTTCCTTATTTTAGTGTTAAAATCCACTGCTCCGTAAACAAACCAGAAATGGTGGGTTTACTGTATTGCTCTTCTGCATAACTTCTTGACTTGCTAATGATTTAGTCAAATACAAAGAAAATGGCTTCTGACAGCATGCACCTGTAATGTGGTCAGCTTTCAAACCCATTCATATCTGCAGACAATGAATGTGAAGATCAGATAAAGTAAAGGTAAAAGTTTGTCTCTGTTTAATTAATTAGGCAATTAAGCACTATGCCTTGAAGAGTTGAGGTATAGCTCCACCATTCTTAACCTGATACTAGATGGCAGTGAGCAGTTGGGTTCACTCCCCAGGGAAAGAGCCACCAGTACTCATTGGATAGGAGCTTGGGAGTTGGAGGCAGTACATTCCTCCAAAACATCAGGTCCTCTCTTAACTACATGTCCAAGAGACTGCACTCTTCATGGTCTCTGCTGTGAGAACCTCAAATCTGACATGTCAGTGATGATGAAAATGTCACACCATGGAACTCTAAAGCTACCATGCAGACCTCTGTCAATATGTTTCAAGGTAATCACCACATGACTGCAAGAAGGACAGCCCAAACTGGTCCTCATGCTGAATGTTCTGAAATGCGATTGAACTGTGACTTACCTGGTCAAGCATGGAGAAGTCAAGGGACTGCAACTGGTTGTATGCCAGGTCCAGCAGCTCAAGCTGGGGCAAATTCTGGAAAGCCTCATCTGAGATTGCCATCAGCTTGTTCCCACGCAGATCTAGCTTCTTGAGTACATCCATGTTCATGAATGCGTGGCGTTCGATTCGCTTAATCCTGTTGTCGTCCAGCTGCAGCAACTCCAGGGATGGGAGGTCCATGAAGGTGTGGATGTTCAGGAACTCTAGGCTGTTGAATGATAGGTACAGGGCTTCCAAACCCGCGTGGATTCCTCCCTAGAGCACAGTGCACAGTGCTGCTGCTTTGAGTCACATCTTAAACTCATTAATATGTCTGGTTTGTGTTTGGAATATACTGTACAAATATTAGAATGAATACTGGCTCTCTTGACTGACAGTCCTGCCAGGTGAATGTTGCAGTAATGTCTTCAAACTTACCATGTCTGCATTTCCCTGTTATTAGCTATCCATTAAGTATAATCATCATGTCACCATGAGATCTGTCTTATAACAATTACTATTACAATGTCATTAATATATAAAAATTATACCTTGTAACATCATTAAGTACATGAAGTGGTTGGAACATTTATGAGTTACTATAACTAATTTATTTACGCCGGTCACGGTAGCCGAGCGGTCTAAGGCATGCACTGTCTTCGCTCGCCCGGAAGCCGGGATCGTGGGTTCGAATCCCACTCAGGGCATGGATGTTTGTGTGCGTTTTTCTGTGTTTGTCTACAGGTAGAGGCCTTGCGACGAGCTGATCACTCACCCAAGGAGTCCTACCGAATGTGTAAGCTCTAGTAAACTGAAGTGAAACAGAGAGTTTCATGGAGGTAGGCCTAAGCCCAAATTGGGGCTGTAGCACCACAGAAAAAAAATTATTTACACAGTCAAGTATTTAAAAGTAAAAGTTATAAAAACTTTTTCTTAGAACTAGAACCAGTGGTTCATGTCTTCTCATTCTCTTCTCATTAAAGGAAGAAGACTGTCTATCGCGACATGGTCTCACTTCCTTCAATGTCATGGTCCCCTTGTATAGAAAGCTCCTTCAAAATAATCTTCTTGGGAACATATACAGTGATCATATAATTTTTTCTACACTTCAAATGCACCGTGGAGGTCATTTTCCATAATGATAAGTACCTTCAGATGTCAGACACTGTTTCAAAATGTCATCTCTTCAGTTTCATTTTCAATTTGGGATACAAAGGCAAATCACAGGGGGCTAAGTCTGGTGAGTAGGGAGGATTGGGAACAATAACCATGTTGTTGTTAGTCACAATCTCTGTGGTTTTCAGGGACATGTGGGTGGGCATGTTGTCATGATCAGGTGATCAGGGAGCCAGTTATGGCTGTGCCAAAGTTCTGGTCCCCCCCCCTTTTTTTTTGCAAATTTTCTCTCAAGCGTCCCAAAACGTCACAGTAAAAGTCATGGTTGACTGTAGTGTTAGGAGGAACAAATTCATGGCAAACAATCCCCTTCACCTAAAAAAGATGAACATGCTCTTTGTTGAACTCTGGACCTCCCACACTATTTTGTCTCTTGGTGACTGTGTGCTCTTCCACTGCAATGATTATTGCTTTGTTTCTGGATAATAACTGTAAAAACTTGGGCACCCGAATGTTTGTCATCTTCAACTGACACCCAACTGGCCTTGAAACGTGAATGCCATTTAGTGCCATGTTCTCCAAAAGCCTCACAAAGCATTTCACTGGTTTTGGTAGCAGATTTACCAAGTGTCATGCAAAACTTCATGCAGACACGTTGCTTGATTTTGTCATCCATCGCAGACAAAATGAGACACAAAGTCGAAAAAACACTTGTATAAAAACAGTGAATGTTCACAGCGCGGTGTCACATGGCAGACTGATGCATTTGGCTTGCAGAAGTGTGACCTTGGCCTTCCCTCTCATCTTCTTTCACCAAGGCAGTGACAACAATAACAATCTGGGAGCTTTCCGATATGCATATGTGAATATTTCTACTGCCTGAACAGTTGGATGAATATTATTCATACTGAGTATTTCAGAGTCCATCCATCATAGGTGAATGTCTGGTTAATATGAACATTTTACCTAAAAAAATGTGAGTCCCTCAGATGGGCCCTACAAAACAAAATCTGATTTTCTTAAAAACTGATTTCAGAACTTTGGATTACATTTCAGTAATTTATGAAGAACATATTCCAAAAGAAAATGGCATAGGAAAGTAACAGTACATTCTCTAGCAGCCCAAACATTAAATGTAAATTTTCTGAAAAAATGGCTTCACTGATTTTCCTTTCACATATACACAGTGTGAGGAAGTACTGTGACCATGAAAAATCTTGACATTTTGACAGATTCACAAGTTTACAGCTGCTTGGAATAAGAAAGAGTGGTTTTTGGAATGCCATCTGTTTGTTTGTGCATGCACACATGCATGTTTATGTATGTATGCATATATGTGTGCTTGCTAGCTCCTGAACAATTAGATGGATTTTTTAGTTTTAATAAGGCCTGAGAACTATTATAAAGAGAATAACATTGAATGGCAACATGTCTTTTTATTCTTTAAGACCCTGCCTTAGTAAATTCCTTTTGTGAAATGTAATGCTGTTGTCTGATCTCTGAAAGGTATACAGCTTCTATTGAGGCTATTTTTGTAGGTGGATGGGAAGTAGTAACTTGGTAACCATAGAAAATATTTTTGTCGACTAAATATGGTGAATCACTGTGACTTGATACATTGAATATAAATTGTTACATCTTCTAAATACACCCAGTATTAAAAATATAAGCATTAACACTTGTATTGGGCCAGTTACACAATCTTAAAATTCATAATGTTGGCAGCAAATGTTGTGAACATTGTTTTCAGGAACTTACTACACTCCTGAACATTTCCCCATATTTTGTGTTAACGGTGTTACTACTTGTTAGTGTAATGTCACTCTTTATGCAGTACAGTTTCATCCATCTTAGTTTGTAGCTCTACACATGGGCCACTGAAGGAAACTAGAATTAGAGGCGATAATATCAGTAACAATGAAGGCAGTCAGGGCATGTCACGAAGCTTTTCAGTGAATGTAAAGTAAAGTAACACTTCAATTCAGTTACAAATGGCATCCTTGCTTATAAATGTGCATGATGTTACCTGAATAGTGCCCTTGTGAATGGCATCTATCTGGTTATCCTGCAGTTTCAGCACCCGGAGACATTTCAGGAAGTGAAAGGAAGTTTGAGGCATGGAGCGGATCCTATTGTTGCTGAGATCCAGATACTGTAAATTTGTGAGTGGTCGTAGAGCTTCTGCTGGAATGGTGTTAATGGAAGGGGCAAAGCCATGGGACACTATCAGCTTCACCAATGAATGCCCAACCTAGGACACATAAAGAGAGTTTAGTAAATACATACACACACATATCCCTTCACATAAAAGGAGAAACTGCTGCTGAAATTCACTGCCAACTTGTTTCTGTTTACGGCGAATAAGTTATGAACAAGCAAAATGTGGCAAAATGGTGTCGTGAATTTGAAGTGGGAAGAAGTGATGTTCATGATGAAATAAGGAGTGGAAGGCCATGTGTTGTCACTGATGAAATCATTCAAGAAATTTATGAAAACATTCGTGCTGACAGATGTTTAACCATCGATGAACTTTTTCGGTGGATGATGAGGTGTAAGACATGGTGATGAAATAGCCAAGAAAGCAGGCAGGAGATTTCTATGACACTGGGATAAAAAAAAGTTCCCAGGCTCACTAAATGCATTGTGATCCATGGTGACCATGTTGAAAAGTAAATAAAGGTGTGTTATAAAAGTGCTACAAGTGAATCAAATAAAATGCTTTACAAATATCTACTGGACTTTATATCTTTACTTTCCGAATATCCTTCATGCACGCACACGGTGTGTGGGTGTGTCTATGTATGCGCGTGTGTGTGAGGCATGCTTTGTTGCATCTCATCTATGACATATTTTTGCGATGTTGAGGCCTATACAAATTTCCTGTAAACCTAAGAGCCAGAAAAGAATATGACATTCCTCAGGTGAGAAGTGGATTGTTCTTTTTACAAAAGAGGAACTGAAACATTTGTATGTAAATAATAAGCATTTCCTTTCATGCTTGGGGAAACCCCAGTATGCCATTGCTAGGACACAAGGGAGGGATGAAGGTAGAATGAACAAATAAAGGAGATTGGAAAAGAATATGGGAGGAAGGAGGAAAGGGAATAAAGGTATAAATTGGATAGAGAAATGGAAGAATTTGATGAAGAAAATATTGTAATGTGAAGGAGAATGAGGAAGGAACAGGGAAAGACATGACAGTTGGATGAACAGATATAAAGGATGATATAGCAATAAGGGGGAAAGCCAGAAGGAGGTAATGAAACAAAAGATATAATGGAAAGAAAAAATATAAATGAAAAAGTTAACAGTTCCGTCCAGTGTGACTAGTGGCTTCTAACTGTGTTGATGTAAAGGTGTCCCTCTGAAGATGGTCTCTGGAGACCAAAACATGTAAGGGCATGAATAATTGAAATAAGAAAGTCTTAACTAGACACACTGGACAGACCTGTTTAAGTTTTTCATAATATTACTGTGACGGACCAGAATAAAAAAAATATAATTTTTTCTCTCATCCCTGATGTTTCATGCACTAGTAGTAACAGAGTACGAAGAAACTTTAGGTGCTATCATGAAAGGTTTTGGTGCCACAGTGAGGCTCTGGTTCTATAACAAGAAGTGTCCATTGTTTAGCCAGGGAATATGCTAAGAGCAGGTTTGTTAGGCTTGTTGATTTTTTTCTTGTGGATGTATATTTGTACATTCATACACGTATAAAGCAATATATAGGCTGTACATTATTATTTATTATACTCTTGATTGCAGAGTGGGCTATGCAGTAGCTATGGCAGTTGGTCAATGCCTTCTTACCATGCAGGCTTGGGTTCAATCCCGTGTGGTCCATGTGGGATTTGTGGTCGACAAAACGACATTGGGATAGATCCTCCTCTGAGTACTTTGGTTTTCCCCTGCCAATTTTTATGCCACCAATACTCACCTACAACTAGGTACTGGTAAATAGGCCCACTTGCACCCTAATTACAAAGGGACTTCTCATGTCACCATAGGACCAAAAAATATATGCAGTGACATTAAAAATCTGTCATATTGTTCATCATCTGAAGATCTACCAAGTAAATCTTAATGGGCACGGTTTAGTGTTCTTCCAACTCTGCATCACCAAAGCATCTCCTGATTTTAGATATGTTACATTTCTTTAGTTTTTCAGACAGAGAGAGTGAGTAAATATTACTAATGTAAAAAAATTCAGTATCAAGATCTCTCTTCAATTCAAGATAACATAAAAATCAGACTGAAGAGAGATTGTGAGCATCTTTAAGTTGCATTGAAGATGGAGGTGAATGAGTGAATGATACATCAATGCAACACGATGCTCAAATACAATATTATTTAGTATCAAGATTTTAACTGATTTACACTTCCTGTGAATACAAACATGAGCTTTTTGGAATGCCATCCATATTATGGAGAGTAGATTGTAAACATGCTATTAATTAAATAAAAAAATTGTTGCTCTATTTTTCCACTTGTGGCGCCAATGTTTGTGTTTCCTTCGTATCTGTGTTCCCAGTAGTGGAGTGCCACTTGTGATTGTGATTTTAATGTTATTTTAAATTAAGAGGAGATTGTGAACATTTGTAAGTTGCATTAAAGATGGAAGTGAATGAGAAAGTGATACAGCAATGCAAGAGGATGCTCAAATACAATACTATACTTAGATCACCCCTCTACATATACGGTGCGTGCATGCACGCACACACCATATACTGTGTGTATATTATATCATTTATATAACAGATGGTGTTTATTATTTGGGATGTTAAGAGTAAGATGGCCGGTCACGGTAGCCGAGCGGTCTAAGGCATGCACTGTCTTCGCTCGCTCGGAAGCTGGGATCGTGGGTTCGAATCCCACTCGGCATGGATGTTTGTGTGCGTTTTTCTGTGTTTGTCTACAGGTAGAGGCCTTGAAACGAGCTGATCACTCGCCCAAGGAGTCCTACCATATGTGTAAGATCTATAAAAACCGAAGTGAACGGAGTTCATGGAGGTAGGCCTAGGCCCACTGGGGCTGTAGTGCCAAGGGGGAAAAAAAAAAGAGTAAGATGTTCATACATTACTGTAGGCAGATGGCCAAATTGTCTTCTGGCCAATGGCTGCAGGCATGCACATTTGCATGTGAAGATTGCCAAGTGTTCTCTAGCACACATGCAGTGACACTACATTTAAATAAGAAATGGCTGCCTTCTAGCATGTAACAACCATTTATCCCATCATCAGCACCATAAGCCTTGCAGAAAAACATCACCTCTGTGAATGCCTCATTCTCAATGCGTGTGATCTTGTTCTCAGAGAGATTGAGTGTTTTGAGGCCCCGCACATGACGAAAAGCATGGTTCTTGACGATTGCCAGGTCACTTTTGATCACATGTAGTTCCTCCAGGTCCACACTGAACTCCATGAAGGGTTCAGGTGCCAGGTGTGGCTGTGGCAGGCGACTCAGCGACAAGAACCGCAGGTTGCGCATCCTAGAACATGATCCAACTGTGATCTAACTCTCTCGTAATACTGTGTGCTCTTGAAATGTATTTTGAGCAACTATGTTGATATAATATCCATCATGATGTCACTGCTGGCCCTATCAAGCACAACAGTATGACTTTATTTGAGAAATACATGACAGTCATTATGTTTCCTCAGTCATTCCACAAGAATGAAGAACTCACATACTGAAAAAACACCCCAAGAAGAAACATATTTGTCCCAGGCATGTCATGTGTGTTAGTCAGACCGAAGGGCATTGGTTGTTTATGTAACACCCTCAGTAGTTAGACTAAATAGCATCAAATTACAGTAAGACTGATGGAAGATGAACTGGAAAGGATTTGGAAGGAAACAGCCGTGGCCTAATCAAGGTACTATCCTGGCATTTGGCTGGATAGACTGAGGAAAACAGTGAAAAGTCCGAGTCAGGATAGCTGAATCACAGATGACATTCAAATTACTATCTCCCAAATAAAAGTACAGAATATTACCACTAAACTAACCTGCTCGCTTTTCAGTTTCCTGTTATCAATTCATGTCTTCAGGAATGCTGTTCCTGTTATGGAAGTGTTGTAGCTAAGTGACTAAACTTGGGCCCTCCCAGGTCAAGAAGGTACTCAAATTATTTAGCAAGTCTACAGGGTGTTGGTAACTCTGATGTGCAAAACTAGTCCTGTTTCTGATGCTGTATTCTTCTTGTTCCTCTCAGCAAAAGTAGTCCTAGGCACCAGTAAGAGTGCTGACAAAGTGAATCAAATCTTGCTTTTGATAGGAAATCGTTAAGGAAATTTACTGCAGTTTTAGGAACTTTGTGACTGCTGCTGAACAAAAGCTTGTTGCAAGACCACTTTTGTCCAAACAGCAAAATGGCTACTGGGCAGATACTGTAGTGATGAACCTATCATTACTGACCCATTCTAGTTTGGTGATGTGGCCAGGACTGAAAAGAATAAGGATGTTGGCAAAACTGATCTGATGGGCAGGCTGGATAAAATCCTACCAGTGGGGTGACTCCTGTTGCTTACATGTTAGGAGACCTGGTGCTACAGAGAATATGGGAAGGTACCAGAAGTGCCAAGAAAACCAGTGGTTAAAAAATTCTGCCTGAACACTCCAGGCAGTAAGTGAATTCCTACCTGTGGAGGTCCTGTAATGATGTGACTCCCATTTCTGGTCCGCTGAGGTCCAGGCGATAAAGGGAGTACTGAAAATCTTTAAGGGGGTCAGCTGAACTGATGGGTGACAGCTTGTTTTCCTGCAGCGTGAGTGTATGAAGAAAGTCAAACTCATGGAACATGTGATATGGAGACTCAGTAAGGTTGTTGGCTCCCAGATCTAGCAGCCGTAGAGTTCCTTCCAGGCCTGAAAATGCTCCTTGAGACAGGTTGGTAAGGCCACAGCCACGAATTGACAGCTCCTGGATACCAGTGCCATGGAATGCATCAGGCTAAAACAGTGCCATAATCTCAGAACCATCATTGTCACAGATGCACAGTAATTTATTTTCTCCTTATTGTAAATGCACTTTTGAATATGGATGGTTTAAATACCGGATATTTCTTTTTACTCTGAGACACTTGTAGATCAGAATCTTAGTTTGTATCCTATGTCATAGTGGCATGTAATTTTACACTCAACTTGAATGCACTGTCCTGAGGAATTTATGAACTGTACAGAAAAGTGCCAGTTGTTTTAAATTTGATTCAGATGCAGTTATTTGTGACACTCAATACATAAAGTATAAATTAAACACCAGACTTACAGCATTAATGATAAACATAACCTAGCCTTAATATTAACACTGACATGTTTGTAACAACCACCTCTGTGGTCTAGTGGTCAGCGTTCCTGGCTACAGATCCAGAGGTCTGTGTTCGATTCCCGGCGCTACCAGATTTTTTCTGAGAAGTAGTGGGTCTGGAACAGGGCTCACTCAGCCTTGTGATGATAACTGAGGAGCTATTTCAAGGAAATAGAAATTAGAAATTAGAAAACCGAAATTAACGGCTGTGGGGATTTGTTGCACTGACCACACAACACCCTCTATATGCAAAAGTTGGCACTATGCTTCGCCGACAAGCGGCAGTCACTTGGTCGATATGGTTTGCTTGTGGACTGAAATCACGCAGTAACATGTTTGTAATACCAGATTCAGAGGCTTTACTGCTGTGTCTTTATTCCTAGAGCCTTGCAGCACCAAGATAGGCTGACATTAGCAGAGCTGTTAAGTTTCAAGCCCTGTCTTGTGCATGATATTCCACACCAAGCTGAACTTTATGCATTTTATATGATCCTTGCACCAGATTTCACATTCAGCTCTTTGCAGGACCCTTGCTTCAGGTTGCATGTTAGCTTGTACATGATCTCAGGAGCAGGTTTTATTTTCTGCTGGTTACATAATCCCTTCCTCAAATCTCCTTCTATATGAACCCTCCTCAAGTTGTATGTACTGTCATTTACATGATCCTTGCCCCATGTTGTAAGTTCACTCTTATGATCTCTGCACCAAGTAGATGACATTAATTTCTTGATGAAGTCAGCCTTAAGAAATTAACTATCTCACTCAGAAGTATGCTACCATTTGTGAGATATTTCTATCCTTCCAGGAAAATGCTGGGGCATTTCCTTAAAATAAGCTGTGATCACTTCTTTCCACATTCATCCTACAATCTCATACTATAACCTGTGCAGCTGAACTGTGTCTTGGAATAACCCAAGAATCTGTCAACAGCAGGAATCTGGTTCACAGACTGAGATCTTCATATTCAAGCCAAGCTGACCCACTAGGTTTTAAATTCCATGGAAGCTCTATATGCTAGTCACATAGCAGTTACTCAGTCTGTGGAACTTGTGTTGATGTGAAACACAGCAAGTAACTTGTTTTCATGCCTCAGATCTGTCAGAAATACTAAGTATGCTAAGTATAAAGTTATGGTACTATGAATTCAGCTTTCAAGCCATGACAAAACTTTGGACAGTTATAGGTTTGACATCAAGTTCACTAGCAACTCTGTGTAATGTCTGCAGGCAAATAGCTCTGTTTCTACTCTCCTCTAACCAAGAGAAGATGCAACAAGTAACCAAGGCCCATCTGTGTGTACTTTGCAAGCTGAACATGTTGGCATGATTGCCAAGTAAATCTTGCTGTTGCCCTTATTAAACTGAAGCTTAATGTGCCCCCGAATGATCAGTAGAACTGTCAATGTCGGCAAGGTCTACTCACTGTGTTTTGCTAGAAACTTTTGCTGGAAAGTGTCTGGATTGTTTACCTCTATTTTGATGAGAGGGTTACCATCCAGGTATGTTCTGTTGAGGATGTGGAAGTGCTGGAAGGCTTTCGAAGGCAGGCTTTCAATCTGATTGTGGTCCAGGCGGAGTGTGTCCACAGACATGAGCATGCCTTGAACCTGATGCTCAGAGTCACGGAGCTTTACAATGTTGTTACTGGCAAGATCCAGCGTCTTAAGCATGCGTAGTGAAGTGAGCTGCTGGTATGGCATGCTGCTGAGTTGGTTGTCTGCCAGCAGCAGGTGAGACAGGCGAGGCAATGCTGCATGAAACACATCCATATTCAGCTCCGCCAAGTGGTTACTGCGAAGGTCGAGAGTCTCAAGGAGTTGCAATGAGCTGAACGTGTTGGTGGGGAGTGAGGACAGTGCATTGTCTGCTAGAATCAGCGTCTGGAGTGAGCTCTCCAGTCCTCGCCAGCTCTCCGGTGACACTTCCCCAATCTTGTTACCTGGTTTTTGGATTGAAAGAAACATGAAGAATACTGTATTCCATATGCTCTCCTCTGCATAACACACCTTTTGAATTGTTAAGCTAAGAAACTAACTGCCTAAGTAACTTGGGTTCTGACTCTGCAGCTGGCCAAGAACTGGGTCAGAGAAGAAGCCCCAGTCTTAAAAAGAAAGAGTTAGTATGTGATGTGGGGGCAAACAGTAGCATAGTTGGTTGAGGCATTATTCCACAAGCTGGAAAGTCACAGGTTCAGTTCCCAATGAGGGCAGTGGATGTTTCAATTGGCCTAATCCATCCAGCCACACTATGGTCCTGGGGTTGACTCAGCCTCTAATAGAAATGACTACCAGGAATCTTCCTGGGCATAAATGGCACCTGGTTCGTAAGGCTGACCACCTCACTGCCATCTGTGATCCGATTTTCTCAAAAATATGTTAATCTTGATGTATCAAAACTCTGTGGCCCTCCACAGCCTGCTAGAGGGATAGCTCTACGTTTTTACCTCAGTGGATTAGTTTGTTTGTCCAATGAGCACTTTCCTTCAGCTGCAGGGCATATTGTATGCACTGGCCCCTTTCAGGCACAAGGGAAAATTCTTAAGGGAATAGACAGAGATCGAGCTCCACCCCAACAATATGAACAAGAAGGATGGGATCTTCCTGAGGAGATCATGGAAGCCTCTCATCCACTCCCTGAAGGAGAGGAAGGTATTCCCATCAAGGACAAACTTGATACTTCTTCCTAAATCACATTCTGCAATCCAGGCCCCTGAGAGAGAGAAAATATTGTTTCCTCACTTCCCGTCCATAGAACTCAGAAAAGGGTCGTTTTTTCCAAACTCACAGGTTCAAATCCCCACCCCATTAAAAAAAAAGACTTACAGGGCCCCTGAAAAGAGTTGTCTTTTTCCATTCTCTTTTCTCACAATTCCACCTTTCCATTTGAAGACAGTACTGTATCCCTGAAAGGACAATTCTTTTGTCAGCATTCTATGATGATAAACTAATGTGCCCTTTGTAAAGGTTGTTTACTACCCTTCATTTTCTGCTGGCCCAGATTGGCGTCCTGTCTTTACTCCCTTCTTGTAACTTGTCTATATAATTAAGACACTTCCCACATTTCAACCTTGAAGATGGAGGCAACATGTTTTCCTGACACATCAATATCCACTTTCAAAGCCACACAGTGTTTTGGTGCAAAAGACTGCATTTTTAATGGTCACCATCCTGAAAACCTCCAAACTTACAATAGCAAGTGTTGATGCAATTCCAACCCATCCTTTCATGCAATGAGGGAACTTGTTTTTCAGTGGTCATTGCTACATCATTGCTCTATCACGTACGCGCAGTCGCTTCGCGCAATATAAGGTTTGCTAGCTGTGAGAAGTGTGGGAAACTTACTTTGTGGACGTGTTACGTATTTACAGGTTTATCGAACAGAATACAAAATGACCTTATTGACTCAATAAGTGACGTAAATTTTGGTGAGTTGACTGCTATCAGTTCGTTTATTAGATACCACTGCTTCCCTTATCAAAAATAGTACCGCACGCTACTCATTACTGTGTTTTACATAATCCATGTTACTGCAGAAATAGACATCATATGATATTAAATGTAATGCCTTGAACACTGGATTTGTAGTAGCAGTAGGCCATGCAACACTGAGAAGCTGGCACATGCAGTCACTTATGTAATATAATATAAGCTTGAAATTTGTACATTCATTTATTTCATACAGCTTTATTGTTAAGTAACATGACTATATCAGAAATGTCCTTTTAATATTAATTTCATACAGCTGCAAGATTGATCCAACTTCAAACATTAATTACATGAAGTAATAATTTCTATAGAATCAAGTTCTTTGCAGTTTTATGATTTTATGTAACTTTATGTGTATATCCATCTGATGATGGCCATTTAGTGACTTCACCAATTTTATATATTGGTTTGTTAAGATTATTTTCTTGTTCTGATTTTTGATTCCTCTTGTGTTCTTGGAATGAATTACATCTGTAGAAATAAACTTTCTGTGACAGTACATGGTTATCACATACGTTTTACACAAGCTGGGTACAACATTTTGAAACAGTAGGTAGTAATGTGTATTTGGACAAAATAATGAGTTTGCACAGCCTGAGAATGTAGTAACTGAATCTTATAGCATGTGTTTTGGGAATGTTACAAGGCAAAGGTATGGAAAATTGTCCCTGTGCTTAACTAATTAAGCACTATGCCATGAAGACGTATGGGGGATTGGATGTATAGACCCATATTTTCTTGACTTCAGCACTAGCTGGAGGTGAGTGGTCAGCTTCACACCCCAGCTACTTTACCCCCAGGGAAAGAGCCCCCCAGTACCCATTGGATAGGAGGTTGGGTGAACCCCAGAGCTGGTCTGTACAATGTGGAGAAGAGAAAATTCTTGCCCCTCCTGGGACTCTTGACCCCTTGATTGTCCAGCCCATAGCTAGTTGCTATACTGACTCCTGGTAATATTACAAGGCACTTATTAAATGCCCAGCTTTTAACATTTGAATAAGTGAATAAATATAGCAGGGCTGATACCTTATAGTCTTGACATTGCATTCCATCTCTTTTGTGGGTATAATAAGTACAAAAATATTTCTTAAAGATAACATTAAGGGAGGAATATTGAATGATAGAGCAATAGTTATCAAACGTATACTGAAGAACAGACAGCAGTAGCTGGTAGACTTGAAAGGATTCTGTACAGAACTATAAGGCTTATTTTGGACTTTATCCAGCATCTGGTATATATAAGACAAAAAAATACAACGTTTTGGAGACTGGATCTGTCTCTGTCCTCAGGTGGACCTGGTCCAGTGATTGAGACTAGCTCTTTCTAACGGGCCCAACTGAGTAGGTCTATCCTGCCCCATCCACCTGAGGACAGGTACAGTTTCTGATACAGGAGACAGATACAGTTTCTGAAACATTGCGGTTTTTTTGTCTTCTATATGCCAGGCAATGGATAAAGTCCAAAATAAGCCTTATAGTTCTGTACAGCAGTAGCTGGGTTACAGGTTCAACATCTGTTGAACTACAGCTGTATCTCATATTGAAATAATACAACATAATAAAATGTATCCTGTTGTTTACTCTGTAAAGGAAAAGGTAAAGTTGCCATGAAAGCATATGGGGGAGTGGATGTATAGACCCACGTTTTCTTGACCTTGGCGCTAGTTGAAGGTGAATGGTCAGCTTCAAGCCCCTGCTGCTTTACCCCCAGGGAAAGAGCCCCCCGATCCCATTTGATAGGAGGCAGAGTGGGGCCTAGAGCCAGTCAAATTCTTGACCCTACTGGGGCTCGAACTCTGACCCCTCAGTCATCCAGCCCATAGCCAGTCACTATACCGACTATGCTATCCCGGATCCTGTTGTTTGTTTGGAAATGTTTGGAAATTCTGTGTGCTTATGTGTTCCTATTGGCATGTGCTTCTGAAGGTTCATGATAGACGCATTAACCTGAAAGGTCAAGGAGCCTCAGCTTCTGGAGGTGCCGCATAGCTCTGCTGGGCACATCAGTCAGATCATTGTACTGCAATTCCAGCTCCCACAAAGAGCGCTCCAATCCCAGAAATGCCTCATCCGGTACTCTGGGCAGCAGATTGTGACTGATCTCCAGGCGGTATAGTCCTGCGAACAGCTAAACTCTTAAGCAATAATGATCTGGTTAGCTGCAATATTGTATATGCCATTCTCCATATTTTCTTAGTAATGCTTGATTTAATATCCAGCAGTTTTGTTGGAAAGGGTATGCTGTTTCATATATGTTTAACCCTTGAGCAGGCACAATGTTGCAAAGAGTGTGACAAAATTAATCATTTGAAGGAAAAATGTCATTTCATTTCTTTGGTATGAGAGTCCTTTTTGGTATTCTTTGGTTGACTTTTGACGCCTCATAATATAAGTAGAACTTAACTTCATTCTGTTTTATCTACTGGCTGTTTGAAGGTGCAAATGAAGAGCAGAATTTTGGAATTTTACATGTAACATAGATGAGGACATGAGAAGATGGATACAAAAGAAACTACAAGAAAGGAGATAATATGTAGCTTTGCTCAGGAACGTTTTCTTGTTATTGTGGAAGAAAAAATAAAAATTTGATGGAACTGTAAGTCATTATGGGCTTTTGTTCATTTTGCTGCCATAGGGACTCATTTGGATTTATTTGTACCAACTTGTATAAACAACTGTTTCGAGAGTTCATCACAGTTTATGAGAAACTAGAACTGCTTTAAGGCTACTGCATTTTCATCCCCTATGTACCCACTACACTATGCTACAAGTCGGAAGGTCGCGGGTTCAAGTCCTGATGAGGTCATTGGATTTTTTTCGGTTGACCTAATCCTTCCAGCTGCACTATGGCCCTGGGGTCGACTCAGCCTCTAACAGAAATGAGTACTTTACTATGTACCCAATATATATGCTATGAAATCCTTAGTGCTCTGTGATGTCATGATATCCTTCACAAGCAATTCAGAAGCACATTGTGGTAAACAAGAAAGAGGAGCCATCCCAAGGGCCCAGTTCACTGGTTGGCATCATGAAGAAATTGACTAGTCATACAGAAGGTTCAAACCAGTACCTCAGAGATTCCCATACATCCTCAAAATAAAATTACATATGTTCATATGTACGAATTATGAGAAAAAAATAAGTCAGCAATCCCCCCAGAATTTCTGCCATGAAGAAGACACAAACAAACCTAATGTAATCCTGGGCTATGATATGATCAAAGGTAAATTTATAGTATATGTGGCAGATATTCAAAAGCTAGTCACAGGTATTTTTTCTTTCTGTTATGATCATTGTATCAGTGCACAGATTCTCTTCTTGCAAACAAAGGCTATCCCAAATAAACCAAAGAACTTTTGAAAAGTTACAATATATGTAAAATCACAGTGCTTATCTCCAAGTTCTAAGTTGAAGAACCCAAAAAAGCAATGAACAACTTCAAAGAAGTTGGGTCCTGTGTGTGGGCACATAGTGACTGCGAATATTCCACTAATGTATGATAAATGTTCGAGCTCTGCGGAAAACATTAAAAAATAAATGCCTGCAGCTAAGGGCTCTAGTTTATAGGAGTTCCATCTTCATTTGTTAAATTATGTTTGGGTATACTAATAATATGAAAATAGTTTCATCATGTATAAATCAACAGCATTGATTAAAATTAACTAATATAATATACAGATTATGTAAGTGTTGCATGAGTGCACCACATGCCCCTAGGTGCCTGCTTAAAGGTTCGAAAACAAGTCTTTCAAGAGCAGATCAGATATGTTAAATATGCTTCATGTAATGGCAATGTGGAGGAACTACATGTGGTTCACTGGTTTGTGCTTCATGTAATGGCAATGTGGAGGAACTACATGTGGTTCACTGGTTTGTGCTTCATGTAATGGCAATGTGGAGGAACTACATGTGGTTCACTGGTTTGTGCTTCATGTAATGGCAATGTGGAGGAACTACATGTGGTTCACTGGTTTGTGCTTCATGTAATGGCAATGTGGAGGAACTACATGTGGTTCACTGGTTTGTGCTTCATGTAATGGCAATGTGGAGGAACTACATGTGGTTCACTGGTTTGTGCTTCATGTAATGGCAATGTGGAGGAACTACATGTGGTTCACTGGTTTGTGCTTCATGTAATGGCAATGTGGAGGAACTACATGTGGTTCACTGGTTTGTGCTTCATGTAATGGCAATGTGGAGGAACTACATGTGGTTCACTGGTTTGTGCTTCATGTAATGGCAATGTGGAGGAACTACATGTGGTTCACTGGTTTGGTTCTGCAGATTGTTGTTATTTATAGAAGCAATTCTGTAGTTGTTTTGTACACAAGGTTTTTTTTACTTATTTTTTTCCTCTTTATAGCACCAACTTCAGCATATGATGAATCTAGCCCATTCACCATTGAATTAACATCAACTTCAGTGGTTGCTGAAGTACTTCCATTCCAACTTAACGGAACCAGTCCCATTTAATTTGACATCAAATTCAGTAGTTATATTGAAGAATACCCAGTCACGCTTGCTAATTAATTAGTATCAACTTCAGTCCTTGGTGAAATGTAATGAACCCTACTCACTGACGAATTAATATCAACTTCAACAGGACTGCTAGCTGAATTTTTACCTGAATTATTATTCTTGATAAATTAGCAACAACTTCAGTGCTTGCTGAAGTACAGGGAGATATAAAAGTTGCGCACATCAAACTAAAATTTGTTATAAATTGTATTGCAGTTAATATAATTATATTTCCTACCGCTAGATGGTACTGTAGGAGTACTAACAACAAGTAGAAACGCCATCTGTTGTGTATCAGTCATACAACATCTGCAGTATAACTTTGTTTAATGCATGACAGACATGTCGTTTCCCAAGAACGAGTTTTCATTATGGAACATTATTTCACCAGTCCTTATGCACGTGTCACAGACAAGTTTCTTCAGGGGTATCCTGATTTTTCAGTTCCTAACAATCCGACGATAACGAGAATAATCAACCGATTTTTGGAATGTGGATCAGTTTCACATAGGAAGAGATCTGGGGGACCGGCCATTTTCACTGAGGCTAAACTGGCTGACGTGGAGAAAATGCTGCAATGTTCCCCTTCAAGAAGCCTGAGGAGACCATCAGCGCTATCAGGGATTTTGTACGGAAGTGCCCAGAAAGCGATGAAGAAGTTACACCTTCATGCATATTGTGGAACCATGGAATTACTGATGAAGCATGGTTTCACCTTGGTGGCTACATGAACAGTCAAAACCATAGGATTTGGTCATCTGAAAATCTACATGTGTTACATGAAAAGCCCTTGCACTGTCAGAAAATTGGAGTGTGGTGTGTTGTATCACGTTGTCAAATAGTGGGCCCAATTTTCTTTGAAACAACAGTGAACAGTCCAGTGTACTAAGATATCATTACACAGTTTATTGTGCTTCTTGAAGTTGATGAATGTGAGTGTTGGTTGCAGCAAGACGGTTCCTCATGTCACACATCTAATTAAACCATGCAGTTCTTGCAGGTGTTTGTTGGTGACCTTCTCATTTTGAAAGGATTGTGGCCCCCGCGTTCGCCTGATTTGTCACCCTCAGATTTTTTTCCTTTGGGGGTACCTCAAAGGAATTGTCTATAAAAACAATCCGCATACACTGGATGACCTCAAGAGGAACAATATGACGGCTATTAACAGCATCAGTTTACAGGTGCTCCACAAAGTGGCCTCAAACATGGTAAAAAGAGCTCACACATGCATTTCTGAACAAGGAAGCCATTTCTATCATATGTTGTAAAGACATGATTTGATTTTGCATTTCTAAGATGTAAGGTTATAAACATTAATAGTAAGTGCTGTATGTCTTGTAGTTTGTGCATTAAACCAGCAAAATATAATTGCTTAGTGTGATGTGCATGACTTCTCAATCTCCCTGTATTACCAACCCCACCCTCTAATGTATTAGTGTCAATTTCAGTATTTAATGAAGTATTACCAGGTCCACTCACCGGTTCCTTGCAGGAAGTAGGGCTCAATGGAGCGCAAACCATTGTTCTCAAGGCGAAGCATGAATACTTTGGAGCTGTTGATTGGTGGTGGAAGGCGGGGCAGTGGCACATCGTGACAGATCACAATCCCCAGGTCGGGCACAGACTTTGAGCAGCTGCACAGTGGATTGAACATGCAGGGTGGATAGCTCACCATGTCAGTGGTGGCACGAACCAGTGAGAACCACAGCATCAGCAGCATCGATACCACCACCAGACAGTAACCAAACTTCACCAGTGCCAGCAGACTCTGCACAAATCAAAATTCTGTGTCAGGGATCGATGTACATAGTGGCCCAAAAGTCAGTAAACCTGACACATTCTCTCACATTAACAGGAATGTTAAAATTTAGTTCTGCCAGTCAGTCTGTAGAATTTCATTTCATTTATTCACCTTCCATAAATCCTGTCGAGAATGGTCTCATGGCATTGTGAGCTGTGTTCTTAACATCTTATTTGGAACAATTTTTGGAAATTCAGTAAGTAATAAAGAAATTTCTAACATAATTCAGTGTACATTTTACCAACCAGTTAACTGAAATAGGGCCATGCTAAGTATAACAGAATAACATAAAATGCTTACTGCAGCTAATGACACAATGTCTGAATGTCCTTCAGTTGATTGGTGTGTTACTGTTATGGTTAGTTGAATGGCTGTGTAAGCAGTGATTTGTTGCTAGAGTAGGTAGTTAGTTGACTGGCTGATCAGTTGGTTTCTTTGTTGGTAAGTACATTCTGAAAGGAATATGTTTAAATTGTTTAACTCAATGGCACATAATGAGAGATTTGGATGTATTTCACTTCAACTTGTATTAAGGTGAATTAAATCACTGAGCTTCAAAATGGATTGATCATTACTGAAGGACATTTTTAATAGACACTGTCATTTTATAAAATACTTGCATGACCAACGCAAAGAAGGAAGAACTATGTTAACACATATCTTAAGGGTGACAAACGGTACGTTTTATGCTGATGATGATGAATGTTCTTCAGATGTTTAAACAAATATACTTCAATGAGAACCCAACACCAAGAATTACTTACCTAACTCTATGGCAGATTGATTATTTAATTCTTTAGTATCAACTGGAGATAATATTACACCAAATGATAGATGAAAAAATGGTTATTCCAGCTGAATGAATGAATGAATGAATGAATGAATGAACACAATTAGAGAATTATACAGAGATATTAATGAATTTCAGAATGGTTACCAACCTAGAAGTAACTTAGTAAAGGATGAGAATGGTTTTTTTGTTACACTCGACGGACTTTCTATTAACTTTGTGATGAGAATGGTGTTCTGCTTGCAGATTCCCACAACATTTTGAATGGATGGAAGAATTTCTTCTCTCAGTTACTGAATGTACATAGGGTCAGTAAAGTTAGGCAGATAGAAATACATACAGATGAGCCATTAATATCTGAGCCAGTCCTTTTGAGGCTGATATTGCTATTGTAAAGTTGAAAAAGTATAAATCACTAGGTACTGACCAAATTTAGGGAGAAGTGATTCCAGCAGGAGGTGAAACATGTTCTGGGATCCATAAACTGATTAATTCTATTTGGAATAAGGAAGAATTGCCTGAACACCGGGAGGAGTCTATTACTGTACCATTTAAAAGAAGGGCAAAGAACTGATAATAGTAATTATTGAGGCATATCACTGTTTTGAACTTCAAACAAAATTTTATTCAATGCCCTTCTCCCAAGGTTAAATCCATATGTAGACAAAATTATTGGGGACCATAACATTTTTTGCATTCATCAGATGTTGGAGAAAAATGAGAGCACATTGAGACAGTACATCAGCTATTCATAGACTTCAAGAAAATCTATGTTTCCAATTTTTTTTCCTTGGCACTAGCGCCCCAGTGGGCCTAGGCATACCTCCATGAACTTCTCCGTTCACTTCGGTTTTTCTAGATCTTACACATTCGGTAGGACTCCTTGAGTGGGTGATCAGCTTGTCGCAAGGCCACTGCCTAATAAGGCAGTGGCTATGCGCGCTACAAATTTATTTAATGATAATGCTGTGTCGCATTTTCACCAAATTTTGAAGCATCGGCAAAAACAAATGTCTCTAGACAGCTTTCTAGTAAAAAAGAATTAGATATGTATCATAAATAATAAACTAATTATTAGGATTTTTTTTGTTTGTTTTCTGCAAATCGAATTCACATTCCAGGTTGGTTCATTCCGCATTGAAGAAAAGATGAAGATGATTCACACTCCTTCACAATGTATATATAATTTTCTTCGAATAAACGTTATACATACAATTTTTTGAGTATTTTTTCGGCATGGAACGCATTATCGTATTTTACTCGTACATTAATTTATATGGGAAACATTGTTTCGCTTAACGAGTGTTTAGCATTACAAGTAAGATTCTGGAACGAATTATGCTCGTTAAGCGAGGTATATATAATATAAATAAATACAAATTAAAATAAATGTGCATGGAGGTGTGTTTAATTATTATGAGGAATAAGAGACTTTTGTAACCTTCTGGTGTGTTCCGGAAACCTGTGTGGAGTGTTTCATATTGTAATATGCATTAGTGACTATATACGGGGTTTGGGATTGGATGGTTGGATTTATTGACAATTTATACACACAATTCGGGACTATAGGCAGTTACAATGCTTTCGCTTTTCTACACACTTTCAGTTCACCGTTACATACGCACTACAGTTCTCCTTCACCAGCCACATCCTGGCAACAGATTTATCACAGTCTCACTGGCACTTCAAATCACACATGAAGTCTTCTTTTCACAGCTGAACTCCGTTCTTGCCATTACTCTGCAGCTGCAAATTCCAAAGACTCAACTCAATTCAATTGAAGCTCATTCCGGCAGGCTGGCGTCCTGAAACTCAACTCTTCACTCTCGACTACTGTTCCACTACTACAGACAATTTCTTGGACTGCGGTTTTGTCTCACCATATTACGAGATACTCACATACCCTTACACATATCCACATCCGCTCTCAAAATAGTCGCCGCTTGCTCCTGTGCAAGCCTGCCAATGTTGGTATAGCTGCTGGAAACACTGCTGAAAGGTATTTGCAGGAAGGTCCCGTACGGCTTCCCTTGTGGCAGTGAGGATCTCTTCGGCTCACTGAAATCGACGCCCACGTAGCTTTTCTTTCAAGCGGGGAAAGAAAAAGAAATCGCATGGTGAGAGAGCAGGTGAGTATGGAGGGTGTGGCAAAACGGTGTCCTGTTGTTTTGCCAACTCCTCTTGGACAAGAACAGAACGATTTTCAGGGGCGTTGTCATGTAGCAACAGCCAGTTCTTCCTGCGCCAAAGCTCGGGACGCTTACGACGAACTGAATTGCGTAGATGGCGAAGGATCTTGTAGCGGTGCTTCCTTACAGTCGCTCCTTCTGGGATGAATTCCATGTGAACATTTCCAGATGAGTGAAAAACAGTTCAAGCATTACCTTGACTTTTGGCCTGGCCTGTCGCTTTTTCTTCTTGGCGATGATGTCAATTTCCAGGTGGCCGATTGTCACTTCACTTGCAGATCGTACAGGAAACACCAGGTTTCGTCTCCTGCTGTGATCCGGTTGAGCAACGCCCCATTTTTGTCAGCACTGTCGATTAGGTCACGGCAAATGTTCATGCAATCATCACGTTGGTATTGCGTCAGGACGCTTGGAACACTTTGCTGGGTAACATGAGACATGTTCAGGTCATCAGACAGAATGCTGTGGCAAGTACCATGGCTAATCCCTGCTGCTGCTACGATTTCATCCAGCGTTTGGGAGTGGTTGGCACGCATGGCCGTTGCAGCTTATTGGATCTTGAGTTCAGTTCTGATCCCTCTTGGTCGACCGGTATGCTCATCATCTTTCAAACTGTTTCTCCTTTGTGCATAACTTTTGTGGCATTTAAACACAGCCTTTCAGCCCAAGCTTTTTTTACTGTACGCTTGCTTGATAATCTGAAATGTTTCGCTATCAGATTTGTCTGATTTTTGGCAGAACTTGACGATTTACTATTGCTCAAATTAGGACATTCTCGATTTCCGCCGCTCGCAGACAACTATCGTACACAACAGTGGCTTTCTTTATGAGTACACCGCATGCACACAACAGCTTCTAGCTGGGACGAGACTAGAACAGGCACGGCACCATCTCGTGATTCCATATATCCGCTGAAGGGCGTAGGGCCTAAGAGAGCCACTATGCGGCCAATTAACAAAATTATTGACTGTGCTACTTATACTCTGTCGCCAAAGTCAAAGTCACATTGCGACTGACTGTCAGTCAGTCAGTAAGTCTTTGTGTCGAGCCCAAATATACGAGGGTCATACTGAAAGTCATGAGCAACAATTTTTTGTAGAGTAACATGCTTTATTATTGACAAACCAAATACACCACCTCAATCTACAGAGCTTTCTTTATTTTTCCACATAATCGCCACTTCTATGTACACATTTCTCCCCAGCGTTCTGGGAGTTCGAAAATTTCCCTTCTGTAAAATTTCGTTCCAGCCATCTGAAGACACTGACGCACTGCTTTCTGAATTGCCTCCCTTGTCTCAAAACGTTGTCCACGCAGCTGATCCTTCACAAATCCGAAAAGATGGTAGTCGGAGGATGCCAGATCAGGGCTATAGGAGGGGTGTGTAAGAACTTCCCACCTCATCTTTGCAGTTGCTTCCAATGTGAGGCGAGCGGCGCGGGGGTGAGCGTTGTCATGCAAGATGATGATGTTTCGTCCCAGACGTTTATGGCGCAATGCACGACGGAGCTTGTGAAGCGTCTGGACATAATGAGCAGCATTGATGGTTTGTGCAGGTTCCAGGAATTCAGCTAGAATAAACCCCTCTGTATCCCAGAAGGTTGTGCCCATCACCTTCACAGCTGATGACACTGTCTTTGCTTTCTTTATGATGGAGAATGCAAATGGTGCCATTCCATACTCTGCCGTTTCGATTCAGGCTCGAAATGGTGAAACCAGCTTTCGTCACCTGTCACAATATAGAGCAAAATACCATCGCCTTCGTGTCGATATCTCTGCAGCAGTTCTGAGATGATGGCTTTTCGCTGACCTTTGTGGTCTTCGGTCAATAATCGCGGGACCCAACGAGCACAAACTTTCCTATAGCCCAAGCTTTCAATCATCTCCTGTACTGCACTGTGCCCTATTCCAAGTTTTCGGGATAAAGTGTCCACAGTCACACGCCTGTCATCTTCAATGATCTCATCCACTCTTTCCTTGTTGCGTTCAGTTGAGGCTTTTCTAGGATGACCGCTCTGAGGCTCATCTTCGATGCTGGTGTTCCCATCATTAAAATGTTTCACCCATCTTCGAGCATTGCTTGCACCCATGCACACATTTCCATAAGCACGCTGAAATCTCTGGTGAATTTCTGCAGCAGGGATTTCCTCTTTCACAAGAAATTCGATGACAGCACGCTGGCGAAACGACATGTGGTTGTCGGCCATTTTGTTAGGAGTGATACTGGTCACGTGATGCAAGCTATTGACGTCACAAGACACTCAAGGTTAACATAACAGCTGGTTCCACATACCACCGTACTCTCTTTCGTCTGCTGTTCCCAGGTTGCATGCAAAAAAAAAGTTGCTCATGACTTTCGGTACGACCTACGTATTTATTACTATTTTGCATTTACGGTCTTGTTTTTGTGGGGCGTCCTCTCTGACGAGAGGACGGGTCTGCCTTTTGTATATGCTGCTGGCCCTTGCCAGTGCCGTCTTTCTCGGGTCTTAGTCCCGTGGGACTCGAAACCATATTTTACTGTCTCAGATTTGAGACTTTCCTTTTCGTCGCCTCCTAAGACTCCACTCCTCTGGCCTGTCACACGGGTGTCAAGTCAAAGTCGAAGCGTCTTCTGTGTCCTTTTATAACCCCCTCGCCACGGACCACACAGAAAACACACCTTTATTGTTAAGGAGGCGTGTTTACTGGTCCGTTACCTAGTAATTGAAGTCCTTCTGTTGCATGCGTACGTTTCGCCGGATTGTGTTTACCGAGTCGTTGTCTATCAGTGAGTATACATGTCACAATACATACAAGTTTGGAAATGTAGGCCTACCATGTCTTTTGTTTAATTATCTCGTAAACATTACGACTTACGAGCAAATTGTACTAAACATAAAGGGCATTTCGTTTATCTACAGTCTTTGTTCCAAGCATTCTTCGTTTCAATTCATATTTAAGCAGTTATCAGTCGATATGGGCAGAGAAACGGGCGTATCTTTTCATGCAAAATGGCCGTTAAGATCGTAGATCTAAATGGAAAATGAACTCGACAATACTTTCTAAATTCTCCAGTACGAAATTTCATGGGAATCTGTCCCACGGTTTTCGAGTTTCATTGCTACGGACGGACGGAGCGAAAGCGCCTGAAGAAAACCTGAACACACACACACACACACGAGAGACTGCAGATATTGAAATTATGGCCGTTATTTTGAAATGCCTTATGCTTACCATTGTGAAGACAGCAACGTAAGCCTGTAAACTGAACGACGCACTTGGTCGGCGCTCCTCCACCCCACGAACCGTCACTGTGTGGCTTCTCTGTTAATGCGATTACCCTGGGCTCGCAACCACGCCGGAAGCAGCGAGATTCTGCAGCCATGGTCTCTTGTGTGTCTTCCTTCTGCAACATCGACAGAAAGCAATAATATCTAGACCACGAGTTGTTCTGCTTTGTGTTTTTCTTGACTCTCTAACACCGTATGGTCTGGTGGGTGATCATCAACCTATCAAGGGGGTGGGGGGGGGACTTTCTCTTTGAAACGTAGGTAACCATTTCCATTTTTTGTCCTTTACGTGTAGTGAAAAGTGAACATTTTTTAACTTAATTAAGCACCATGAGTACGTGTGGCGGAGTGGAGGGACAGCTCCATTCTATTGATTTTGGGGTTCGCATCTCCCAGTAGCTCCATGTAGCTCCATACATTCTAAATTTATGCACTGGGTTTGAGGTTATCTGGTCAGCTTCACGCCCCATCCATATTACTTCCGGTGAAAGATTCCCCGACACTCATTGGACAGGAGGCTGGGTAAGTCGCAGAGCCGGGATTCGAACTCTGATTATCTGGTGATCCAGCCGGTAGCCTAGTAACCATACTGAAAGAGCCGAATTGAGACCATTTACTTAAAGGAGCGATGGTGAACCTTCTAGGCAGGTGGGCCACACTGCAAATTGTAATACGCTGCAAGAGCTACACAAAACTGAATATGACGATCGAAATAGTTTAACCTTGCATTAAAAAAGGTCAAGCTATCCCTGTAAGAGATCGTGGAGGCCCATAGGGTTGTAAAACGTCGAGGCTTCCACCTTTTCTAGACAGTCGGCTCACGGATGGCGATGAGGCTGTCAGTCTTAGGCGCCGGCCGCCCTTTACCCCCAGGAAGATTCCTGGTACTCATTTCTGTTAGAGGCTGAGTCGACCCCAGAGCCCAGAAATGTGTGACGTCACAGAAATAGCAGACGTAAAACAAGCGAACGATGAGCAATCCCCTCCCCTTCCACTACTACAAGGTCAAGGCGAGGTTACACAAATGTCCTGCATGTCCTGCTCACACTAACGACGGAAGCCATAACCTGAAAAGGAGTCTATAGGAATGAATGTTCATTAATAAGCGAATATCAGTCTCTACAGAAAGAGATAAGTAAAGGTAAAGTCGTCTCTGCGTATTATTACTTAAGAACTCGGCCATTAAGCCATGGAGGAGTGAAGGTACAGCTCCACTTTTCTGAGCCTCAGCACTAGTTGGAGGTGAGTGGTGAGCTTCACGCCCTGGCGGCTTTACCCCCGGAGAAGGATCCGTCGATGCCCATTGGAAAGGAGCCAGCGTGGAACCCAGAGCCGGTCTGGAGGCTGTGTAAAAGCTTCAGTTAAGAGTTTCATTTCATGATTCAATCTGTGTTTGCAACATAGGCACAGGTGAGGTTTTCATGGCAGGGACATTGAAGTGAACGGTCTACTGGGTTGCAACACCATGTGCTTCGGAGGAACATATCGCCTCCATCTTCAGGGTTAAACAATAAGTCAAGCAAGAAATTAGGCGGAAAGCTGAGCTGAGTTTCTCTTCCTTCATTTACTCTGTTTAGTTTGTTTATTCGAAATGTTTTTTAAATGTACGCCTCCTGGCGGGTCACGGGGCGGTTGAGATGTGCTGCGTCACATGGCAGCCAACGTGTTTAACCCCCCCCCCCTTACTCGGCTTCTTTCACCCCTCATCTTCCTCCTTATACACGCGCGCACACACGCACGCACATTAGGTAAAGCTATCCCTGTAACAGGCCGTAGAGGCCCATACGCTTGTGAGACGTCGAGGCTCCCACATTTTCTAGACAGTCGCCTCACAGATGGCGGTGAGGATGTCAGCCTTATGCGCCGACTACCCATTACCCCCAGGAAGATTCCTGGTACTCATTTCTCTTAGAGGCTGAGTCGAACCCCAGGGTCATAGTGCAGCTGGAAGAATTAGCTAAATTGAAAAATCCAGTTACCTCATCGGGAATCGAACCGCGACCTTCCGGCCTGTAGCATAGTGCCTTAGTCAACTGTGCTACCGTTACTTCCCCTTCGTTTTCTGTCGCCTTCTGCGACACTACCCACACGTTTGTGCGTGCAAGTTCTCTAAGGGTTAAAATACCGGTGTTAGCTTCTTACGTAATAACACAGAATTTTCTAATCGTTAAGCGTCTCGGAACATAAGCAGTCATTTAATCTGGGGCAAAATCGATTGCTGTGCAGTTCAGCACCACAAGAAACGCAGACTGCACTATCGGCTCTTAACAATAGGTCACTTGGCCCTTTGAAGCAATAAATTAATCGAAGTAATACAGAGTGATTCAGAAAGATGGACACAATTTCAATTGACTATATTTCCTGAACTGTATGTTGCATTTGAATTCTGTAAAGTACATTTGAAAGAGGATGTTACAAAGTTTCTAGTACTACCGCTAGTGCCCTCCATCACTGCGTCCCAGGCCGATCGCGTGTATCGGAGTAGAACGTGGAGTGCATTCGAGTGAACTTTGAGCGCAGCCCAATGAAGTCAACCCGTAGTGCTAGTAGAGAACTTGGACTATCGCAAACAACTGTGTGGCGTGTACCACCTCTTCCCACAAATTTGAATGACCTAAGAAACTGTATCACAGCTGCGGTGAACTCAGTGACGCAAGATATTTGTCATCGAGTGTAGGATGAATTCAGCTACCGTCTAGATGTTATCCGTGCAGCCGGAGGAGGGGGGGGCACATTGAACATCTATAAACTTCCATGTATGTATAATCAAGTGTAATTTACAGAATTCAAATACAACATATAATTCAGGAAATATAGCCAATTAAAATTGTGTCCATCTTTCTGAATCACCCTGTATTGTAACTTCAGTTCCTACCTCACAGAAAACAATTCATCTTCATCGCAAAGACCTATTGCTTAATGCTGCTTAGGGAAGTGACCTCTGTATCTACTAAGAACTGTATGAAATATATTACTCTGTTTTTGACTGTTAAATCAGAGGGTACACATAGTTAGCGTTGTAGTTTAAAAGGCTAAACTTTCATTTTCGTCTTCACGTGTCCCTCTGCATCTCTTGTTATCTTCAATTTTATTTTGTTGAGGACAAATACGTAGTTCACTGACACGCGCAGGAAGCTTGCTGTCATTTCTGGCACTCGGGCATCGTCAAGTTGCAAACACGAATACGCCTATTCCCTGTTTTCCGTCTGTCTCTATGTAACAACTTGAGAATTGCAGAACGCACTTTCATTAAACCTGATATTAGAAAGTAAAGAAAAATAGGCAAACAAGTCCCTGTGCTTAATTAACCACTATGCCATGAAGACATATGGGGGAGTGGAGGTACAGCTCCACCATTCTTGACTTCGACAGTAAATGGAGGTAACTGGGCATCTTCGCGTCCCGATCGCTCCTGGTGCCCATTGGATAGGAGGCTGGGTGGGTCCCAGAGCCGGTCTGGACGCTGTGTAGAACAGTAAAAGCTTGACCACGCAGGTAATCGAACCCCGGTCATGTATTCCATACCTTTTTTCTATAGGAACTGAGCTATCCCTGTGCGCATCTCTTAAGCTGTTAACTTTCACTGAGCATGCATTGCAAGACGACGGAACAGGCGGAAGTAGTCGCCGAAGAAGACTCGCTCCCTTACTGATAATTAATGTCAATTAATATTATTAGTGCTACATTTGTAGAGGTTCGGCCTGTACACACAGTTCGTCACCGTTAAAGATCAGTTTTAAGCTGGACGGACCAGAGTGCATGATCTGTGCCCAACGTGCAAATAAGCCATCGCAACGCAGTGTTTTAGAACAATTACACGGTTTTATGATATTACCACAAGGAAGAAAGCACAACGTTTGTGTCTACAAGCATTACCAATGCCACGAGTGCTTGCTGCACTCTTGGCAGACTACTCTCTTGCCGGACGGGTGTGGGAGAGGCGGGTTGGACTGGAGAATACACGAACCCACAAGCTGTGATATACACTGTTTTTTGCCATTCTGAGTATACAAGTAGAGCGCCCATATCCAAGTTAACGCTTTGTTAGCTTAGTTTTCTGGGTTTCGAGAGGGGAGGCTCTGGGGGACAAAACATCTTACAAACCCCCCCCCCCTGAAGCACAGAGCAAGCTCAAATCGAAATATCCACATGCGAGCAGTTGGCAAACACTACGCTGCGTTACACGTCAACTGATTTTCATTACACAGAGTAAGAAAATTCAAAAACATAAAAATTAGAATTAGAATATACAAAACTATAATTTTGCCTGTGGTTCTGTATGGGTGTGATTTTTTGATGCGGCAAAGTTTACTACTCTAACTCCTTTACTCAATACTCATTACTAATTTCGTGCAAACTCTCATTCCCAGTAGTTGGTTTGAAAATGTCTTCCTTGCCTACTTTGGCACTGAACCAAATTTTCATATGGTACTTCGGGAATTTCTCAAATACAAGTTCTAGTTCTTCATAGGTCCTGTCTTTTATATGTGTACCATCAATTTTATCGCCTGTTGGGGCATGAACATTCAGAATGATGACATCACACCACCGACCTCTTAGTATTATGTACGTATGACTAATGAACTCTACCCTCTTTTAACTGCTGATACGATTCTCTTATGTACGAAAATCCTGTACCTAATTCATGCTTCTCATTCCCCTTTGCATAGAAAAGTGTATATTTGCCTGCTGGTTCGTTGCCACCTCTGTCTCATCTGACCTCCTGCAAAAAAAAGAAAAAAAAAAAAGTAAAGCTATCCCTGTAACAGGCCGTGAAGGGCCATAGTGCGGCTGGAAGGATTAGGTCAACTGAAAAAAATCCAATGACCTCAATGGGACTTGAACCCGCGACCTTCCGGCTTGTAGTATAGTGCCTGAACCAACTATACTACCGCGTGCCCCCCTGACATTCTGTATTCCCGCTATATCTAACCTATATTTTGAGATTTATTCCGCCACTACCCTGAGCGAACCTGCCCTATACAAACTTCTAACATTTAAAGTACCAAATCTTATATCCATTTTCTTTCGCTTAGGTCGTTTATCCACAGAATCCGTCCAGGTCCGAGGCTTCTTTAACATTTTCGTAACAAACCTATTTTTTACGATGAGGAGT